AAAACGCTACGTCCAGATGAACAGAATCAACTTTTGGAGATTTATTTTCCTGGATGATTGAGACGCATCAAGATGTTATAGGAGACTGTTCTGTGTTTACACATTTATTACACTCTGTAAACTGTGCTCTCAGAAACGGTACGACGGGGACCACGTGGTACAGAACCCATCCCCCAGCATCCACCAACCATCGAACTGCGGCACCGCTCCCGCTCGCCGCACCACCCGGCCCCGCGACGATCTCCCACCGAGCCGAACCACCCTCGCCCCGCCAATGAGGACTCCCTGCAAACCTTCTCCCAGCTGCCCGACAGCAATCACCACCTGCCGGAGGAAATGTACCCGTTGTCGGTGTCCCCGGCTGCACCCAACGGGCGCTGCGCTACACCCAGAGAAGCCCCCTGTCCAGGCAGCCCCGGGGGCCAGGAGGCAGGCCCTCCTCGCGTCATCCAACTCATGCCCAGCGCCATCATGAACCCTTTGCTCCTCAGTCCGAACAGGAGTGGCGGGGCTGCTGGCATGGACTTCAGGCACAACCGCGGGGGACCCCTGTCTCAGGTGACGCTGGAGAACGGCCGCGAGGGGAAAGTCCACGGACACCATCATCAGCTAGCCCAGCAGCACCAACAGCAGCATCAGCAGCAACAACAGCAGCAGTTACTACAGCAGCAGCAGGAGGAGGCGCTCTACAGGAACCACGTCATCATGCCCGTGTCTCCTCCAGAGGAGCAGCAGATGCCCATTGGGCGGATAGCAGGTAAGATTTAGCGGCGACGGGGCCGAGGATCAAAGCCGCGTGAGGCGGCATCTGCATGAGAACTTTTTGCTGATAGCAGCTCACTCAATCTTTTCCCTGTTGGGTTCTGGCAGACTGCAGGCTGCTGTGGGACTACGTCTACCAGCTCCTTTCAGACAGCAGGTACGAGAACTACATCCGCTGGGAGGATCCGGAAAGCAAAGTCTTCCGCATCATGGACCCCAACGGCCTGGCCAGGCTCTGGGGGAATCACAAGGTACATACACACACGGTGTTCAGTGGTTATGTGCAGTGCATATAAAAGAGCAGCACAACAGAAGGGACTTTATCGTCATTCCTGCAACCATAAAGCTGCACTAACTCGTTTTTTCTTATAAAACATCAGGACAGAGACTTCATTAATTAAGCACCTTAATCACTGAATAGTGAACTTTTGTTTTTTGGGGTTTTTTCCAACAATTTTGTCGACTTGTTTCAGTTTTATAGTCCTAACAAATGTTTCCTGGCACAGCAGATGCTTCTTTTCATCACTCTGGTAGAAATGCTGATAGGATGATTAAAGAGATGAGATGTAAAGTTCAGTGAAATACAGCAGCTCAGTGTAAACACAGACACACTGATGGATTTAGTGTTTCATCTGTCTTAGCTGTAAGGACACTACCTGTGCGTTAGCCAGGCTTTGTGATGAAATAAAT